ATCACGACAACAAGCTACAAAAGAGAATTTTTGAAGAATCTTTTATTTCTTCAACATCTAGCTGCGTGAATTCTCAACTTTTTTTCATCACATTCGAATCGAAATGGCCAACTGATTATGCCAACTGATATTTATTCTAGTAAACCTCTATTTTACTTTTGCATGTGCTTCCATCATCATGTTCATGTTTGTATACGACCAATAAGAGGGAAAAATGAAAAATCTTATACATAAATATTTAAAACCCCTTTTGTTGTAGTAATTTGAAGATATTAAATTTTTCCATAATTTATAGTCTCAATATGATATTTTTCTTTTCAATTTTGTCAAAACTCAAAAACTTTCTTTTGATACTCACTAGAACCCCAATATTATGAACAATTTCATTCCACCGAATGGTAACAAATTAGCCCTTCCAGCACTTCAACTGATTTTGTGTACTATCATAAATTTCACAACGCCATTCTTATGGTGACCGTCTCCTTCAAGAAGAATATTATTATTATTGTCATGGTTAAATTTTCACATGCAAGACTTGTTTGTTGATAATCAATGACAAACTTGTTTGGTCATAACCACAACCTTTATAGGAAAGAACTATTTCATTCTTTTGTCCTTCAAGTTGAGGGTACATTTGACTTTTCAAACTTTATGTTATACGTGTCTTTCATCCTACAACTAAATGGACATATAAGATTTTCTACATCTGTCTAGAATAGTAACAACTATTTTACTTCTCTTCTGACTCTCTTATTACAAAATACAAATGTAAAAAGCTCGCAAAGGAAAGAATAAGGATTTGCATAGTGTAAAGGAGAAAGTTGAAAGGGCACTATTACTGCTTTTTATTTGCCATGCTTGTAACTTTAATTTTGCTGTGAAAATAAATTAAAGTTGAACATCATTTTTACATTAAATATGTAGCAAAAGACCCTAATTATCTTTGCTTGATCTCTCAAAATTCTCAACCCCAAATTGAGAAATAATATTAATTGTTGGCAAAATACCAATGTTACGATGATAATTTTCTTTTTTCTCTGACCATAAATGGATAGTGCATGATAGAAATTGGACATGTATCTTCGCTGATCAACACATATAAAAGATGAACCTAAAACTAGTCAGAAACAATTTTGTGACCTCCACAAGGTAGGAGTGAGGTTACACTAATCTTCTTCTTGTTGTTGCATTTGTGAACTTTACAGGTAGAGAAAGATATGCAAATTTATCTTTTAAAAAAAGAAAGTTTATCTTAGAGACGAAGAAAGTAGAGGAAAACATTTCAAAGGCTTATTGCTCCTCTTTGCAATGCTTTTAATTTCAATTTTTGCTAAGAAAAATATAGATTGAACAACTCCTATATGTTAGTTCAACTACCAAACGATTACCTAATCTTTGCTTGTTCTCTCGAAATTCTCATCCCAAAAGTAAGAATTTAAGAGTAGTAGTAATAATACTAATAATTTTTGCAGAAATTATGATGTTATGATGATGATTTTCTTCTTTCTCTAAGAAAATTGATAGTGTAGGAATGAAATCATTGCAGGGTAACACCCAATTTGCTAAAAAATAACATGTATTATAATCTTTGCTCTTTCCAAATAAATTTTTGTGTTTTACTCTTTTCTCCATTTTCATTCAAAAAATTGGTTGTGCAAATTGCAGACCATGAAGACATTAAAATAGACATTTAGGTTATCTTACCTCTGGACTCATGTTTAATTATACTACTTATGATATGGTAAGAGATATTGGAGTCGCTGCCACACATGACTACAAGTTTGAATTTTTTTGAACAAAATCTATTTTTTGCTACTTTTTTCTTTGTTATTAAAACATATGTTTTACCTTTCTATCTCCTTTTAATTTTTCCATTTTCATCATTTGGATCTATTTATTGAGGTTCTCATCTATGGTGTATTGGTGCTAATACGTGATTTTTTAAAAACTGTTAATATTTATGCAAGGTTGTATTTCGATATCAATGACGCAAAAGGAATGCCAAGGACTCATGTTAATTTATAAAAATGCTTGATAGGAGATGTATATTAGAATTCTATTATATTATTTTGCTGTGCAGATTCAAAAAATGTAGCATCACTATCAGCCACCCTTATTGTGTGGCTCAATGAAGGTATATTTATCTAATAACATTATTTTTCATATTATTGATTTGATTGCCTTGACATAACAATTTTAATTGAAACTTTGTTTTAATGGTAACTTAAAAATTAATCGTTTATTTGTATGTGTGTGATGTTAAAGCTGAGTCTTTCAGGCTACTTACTTTTGTTTTTCTTAAAAAAGAGAATTATACATGTTGAGATGTTGTATCGATATTTCCACTCTTTATTGTAATTACATTTTCTTTTTGCAGGATATTGATGATGAAATGACATTACACTTTAAGCGGTTGCCAGGTTTAATATTCATGAATAGAATGAACTCTTTTTTCAATTTTAGAGGATATTGGTTCCTTGAGAGATGTATGTATGATTGATGACACACAAGTAGTCGGAGGTGGTTATAATGTCGTACAATTTTTATTGTCAGTTCTTATACTCCATCTTTTTTTTGAAAACAAATTCAAAGAAGCGGAGAACCTATAGCATGGAACAACAACTACGGGTAAATTTGTTTTCAAAATTGGTGAGTTCAGTCAATTATAGCTTTTTAGGGATAGAATCATGTTTGATGAATATATGTAAGCCATTTTGTTCGAGATTTCATTTTGTGAATGATTGGTTCCGTTAGTTAAAAACAAAGTTTCTTCATTCGATGTAATTCTCTTATTTATTCTTGAAATATGCATATGTGATATGTTAATCTTCAACTAAATACCTCAACTTATCCCTCAAGCAAATTTTATCACATAAAAAGTGAAATCGCACTCTCTAAGCAAATTTTATCACAAAAAAAAGTGAAATTAAAATACAAGCTAAATAGAAACAATCTAGTTATCTCCATTATTTAGAAGGGACAGTTGGAGAGGGACGAACACAACAAAACAAATTTGAATCAAAAGCAAGTTTAATTGTCCGACCTTTTGTTTTCATAAAACACATGTATTTTAATATTTTAAACCACAAGTACCTCTCTTTCTCTGCATAATACACGTATACTATATTTACCCATCTAAACCCTATTACAGAAGTAGAACCAAACATTACTTTTTCTCAAAGTCGGTGAAAGAGGATTAGAAATTTCTCCCCGTTCATATTCAAATTTGTTCTTCCATTTTGATATCTTCTGATGATTATTGAAGGTATTTGTTTATTTATTATGGGAAAATCTTAGTTCCATTCTTATGTATATGATTTATTATTTCTAAGGCTCTTCGTTATCTTTGGCCTCTATTTCAGCCTTATTGGATAATGTAAATATAAAATTCTAAAGTGGAATTATTTTAGAGTTCTCTTTTCTACTTTTTAGGAAATAAAAACACATTATTGGCTTGTTTTTACAGTTTTGGAGTGGTTGGAATGTGAAGAACCAGTTTCTAAACATCATGCAACAAACTAGGATAAGACAAGTTGTTTTGATAAAAATTGTATATCATGGTTGCTTGACTAATAATAGCAGAGAAGTTTCTTCAAAGGCAAGGAAACATTCTACATTTAATGGATAATGTGAAGCTACAAATTTTTAACATATTCGAAACTACCTTATTCTGCTTCTTTTATAATTTAATTCTATCACTTTTGTTTACATTATCTAAGGTGAACTTTATTTTAACAACATGAACTCAATAATTATTTGTAGATGTCTACATCTTTATGTGTTTGACATTTGTTGAAGAACTTTTCTTTCGCAAATGAAATTTCAGTATGTAAATGACCCTAGAGTCTAAACTGAGAAGACGCTGACATTTTATATTTAGGCGAAAATATTTTATGTTTAGGAAAACTTGATTCGAATCCTTTTTGAATAATGTAGTTTATACTGTCTTAAGTGTTGGTTACCATGCATAAAGTACTGACAATTGAATGCATTGACGAGGCACCGATTATGAGAGGAAAAAAGATGGAGGGTTCAAGTTTGATTAATTATTGAAAACCTACTCAAATCCTATAATTATGTTTCATTTAAGATTTTATTTGGTAATTTAAGCTTATTTTTGTGCAATTTCACAGAATACTTTCTGTTATTGGTTAACTCATCTTCTTCTATCCAATACTTACTACTTTTGACCTCAGACTTCAAGATCATTTGTTATCTTTCTCTGGATAAGTTTCTCAGTTCTTCGACACATTTTTACTTCTATTAAGGCATGTGGTGAACTCGTCATCCTAAACATGACAATTGTTGTACAATTGAAAGGCAGGAAATATAGCCTGTTATATTTATAGCGGACAACTTTATGCAGAAGTTAAAAAAAGAGGTATCTCATGTAATGTTTTTCATATCTTCACTTTAGACTGTGTATTCCTCATGAATCTCACTCAAGGTTACTCTATTCATTGTTATCACACTTTCCGAGATTTTGGTATTTAATTGCTCGACTTTCAAATATACACCAAGAGTAGCCGTTCTGTTTTGTAGCTAATATGTTTTGTTTCGTCGACGCTAGGAGCATAACGTGTCTTATTATGGAGGATTTTTCATGATTGGATGAATACATGTTTGGGGTAAATTTTCTTTATTTATTTGATTATGTTATCCATATTTCTTCCGTAGTTATTGTTTTTGTTAAGAAACACTCTCATTCAATTTCTCGAAGTAAATTATTGAGGAATTTAACATAATAAGAAACATGTTAAAGAAGAGGATCGCAACATAAGAAATTATTAATGTTTTGTTGCACAGAGGTCCTCTTCCAACCATCCATGATTGGTACAGAAGTTGCAAGTATCATGAAACTACCTAGACTCTTAGTTGAGAGGACTCTTCACTTTTGATGTGATGTCACTTCTGTGTCGGATTCTCTAAAAATACATTACTTTTGGTGAATTCAACACACAACCGTTAACAATTTTTACTAGTCTAAGCAACATAAGTACCTTCAACTCCATTATGAAATGTGATGTTGATATCAGGAAGGACCTCAACGGTAGCATTGTGCTCAGTACTGCACAACCATGTTCCCTGACATTGCGGATCTATGAGCAAGCAAATCACTGTGTTGACTCCCATTACAGATTAAGGTTGTTCCTCAACCAGAAAGAAAGCACAGTGTCTGAATTGGAGTATCCATCCTTAATTCACTTCATCATTACCCTTATTTAGAAGGGACAGTTGGAGAGGGACGAAAACTGCACCAAAATGTGGTACAAAAAGCGGTGTAAAGTGTATTTCAACTTGAGTTGTACAAGTAGTTTAAAATAGTAAATTCAATTTATTAAATTTTTCAAAAGTGCATAGTGTAAACTACTTTCTGTAAACACTGTGTATCACAATTTTTTGTGTAAAAAATGGAACATCTCAATTCGTTATTGATTCTCACACCTCTGCTTCTACTCTTTCAGATTGACAGTCAATTTAAACCTTCGGCAGAGTTAAACTTTACTTCAAAGTCTCGCTCCAACTTCTCAAGTTCTTTAAATTGTTTATGTGGTAAGTATTATTGTGTGGTATTGGTCCTCTTCCCTTATAAATTTTCACTCTTTTTTGGATGATTATCGTGTTTATGCTTCCGATTATTCTGTTGATTTTTCTTATTTTAGGTCTTCCACAATTTTTCTTGGATTCTTTTGCGTTTTAATAGATGCCTCTTGAAATACATGCATAATTTTGTTTTTAATATTATGCAGTTTCTATCGCTAAAATAATAAAAATTAGTAGTATTTTCTCATCAATATATGATACTCTTTTGTAGATAATTTATAACTTGATGTGGTCACATGTTTGACGAATTTTCCCAGTAAAGGTAAGACTTGTGTATGATGAGAGATTAGTTATATCAGTTGATTGTTTTGGTGGACGATTCAAGGTGCTAATGAAGTTAAACGGTGCGTTTAGGTGAATAGACACTTTCCTCTATAATATCTTTTTTTTCATATAGTATTTCTCCCTTAAAAGTAAATAATTTTTATATGTCAAAGGTTTTTGCTTTGGAGTGATTTTATTTTCCCTGTGATGTCACAACTTTCAGGTAATTATTAAGAAAGAATATGAGTTGCCAAATTTTTTATGCTGCCACGAAATTAGAAGTTATATCGTAATGCTGAAGATGGGTAAGCTTTCATTATTGATCTTTTTGTTGGTGTAACAGTCCTAAAAAAATTGAATAGATAAATACTTAAGGTTATTTAATTATTATTTAAAAATCTGAAATTTTAAGGGCATAATGGTCCTTTCACGTATTGATTAAAATAAATCAGATTTTTGTATTAATTTAATTAAATCCTATTTTGACTAAGTCTTGAATTTAGTCTCTTAATCCTAATAACTCTCTCTCCCTCACGCTTCTCAACTCTCTCTCACGTTCTAAATCGCTCTCTCACATTATTCTGCCAAACACAACAAAAACCAGAAAAGACATCAAGAGTTCTTCACACTTGAAGAACTCACAAGAATTTTTAAGTAAGAGACAAAGTAATCAAAACGTCAAGACTAAGAGAGGTTCGTCGAGTGGGGTGTACATTTAAGTAAATTGAGCGTGGTTTAGAAAAGTTTCCGGGCAGAAGCTTCACACTTGAACAACATCAAAAGTTATGGGTTTTTTCTCTCTTTGCCCTTTTCCCAAGAGACCCCTTACAATTCAAGATATTCACTCTGAAACTAAGGTTGTTTCACGTTGCATGTCCTTGTCACTAGCTCCCAATATATTTTAGGTTGGGTATGATTGCTGGTAGATTTAGGTTTACATTTTATTTTCATGATAAATATGATTATGTTTGTGTACTTGAAATTGTATGAAAGGATACCATGTTTTTTCGAAATATGTGCAAGTGTGTGTGTGTGTAAGTATGTTACAGTAAATGAGGTTATCTGTGTAATGCTCCAAGAGTTTAATGTATATTTTTCGTGAATAAACTAAGATAAGGCGTGAAGTTCATATGAATGTTATGTGGCTTGATTGAAGGAGAAATTCTTGGCTAAACGAATCTATGAAAATGTACCTAAAACGTATAAATGAACCATGAAATTTCCCTAAAAACTAATGTGAAATTTGATGAAAAAGGTGCAGAAAAATCGTGGAATAAATTTCCAGAACCTGCAAATAGGCTTTAGAAAGAATCTGGAAATTTTTAGACGTCAAAGAAATAAAATAATAATAATAATAATAATAATAATAATAATAATAATAATAAGTGAGACCTGCAGGGATCGAACCCAGGATCTCACTAAAGCATACGTTAACAAATTAATTAAAAGGGGTGTGCTAAGTGGGGTTCGAACTGGGCTAGGGCTCCAACGAAATTCAAAAAAAATGGAAGGAAAAATGCTTATTTTGGGTTTCGATCCCACAACACGGAAGACCCCTATGTAAAATAATATATATGGGGTCATGGGGAATCGATCCCACGCCCCTCAATGCCTGCAACAAAAAAAAAGGTGGGGGCTTTTGGGATTAATCCCCCAACCCCTTGGTCAGTAGCGAAATAGGAGCATAGGAGGAGGATGGAAAAATTCATTAAAAACTATGGGGTCATGGGGAATCTATCCCAGCCCCTCAGTCAGCTATAACAAGCTCAAAGGAGAAAGGAAAAATGAAAGAAAGAGAATTGTGAGGCGTGGAATCGAACCCACAACCTCCTAGACATATTCATATCAAAAAAATTAAAGAACAAAATAGAAGAGGTTGTGGGGGTTCGAACCCACAACCCTTCGGCCAACCTAAGAGAAAAATTAAATAAAAAATAAATCCTTTCATGTAAATGTTTAGATTTAATTTAAAGTTCTAATTAAAATAGAGAATTAATCATTTCATGTAAATGTTGAAATTTAATTTAGAGTTCTAATTAAAATAAAGAATTAATCCTTCCATGTAAATGTTGAAATTTAATTTAGAGTAATAATTAAAATAGAAAATTTATGTTGAGATTTAATTTAAAGTGCTAATGTTATGAATATTAGAAATAAAATTAATGATAAATATAAATAATAACCGAGTGATCCAAGATTTTGGTTCCCTTGCTAAAATTTTTGTATTGGTGCATACGTCATACGTGAGTAAAATATCTAAGAATCATGTCATCTACTCAGATCAAAAATTAAGATCTTGGCATATATACAAGATACATAAGTCTTGATAATCACTTAGCAAACTACGAACGAAGCCTCATGGCTTGTGTGTATAGACAGATATGTCTAACACACGTTCAAAAATAATTGAACCTAAGATGTACGTAATGAAATGATGAACCTTAGGAGGGTTAAGTACGAGCGTAAGATACAGTAAATGGACAAGTGCATTGGCATATGATGAGATGAACTATAAATGATGAAATGAACATTCACATAACAAGAGGTGAGTAACTATGAAAATCAAGGGTGCTAATAATGAAGAATGTGGTGACAACATGATACGAGGCTAATGTATATAATGCAAGCAATCTCAAATGAGCCTAAATAAATATTACCAATACGTACTCACCGATGAGAGTGCAAGATAATGAAGAGATCAGTCTCTATGATTACTCTATTGAAAGTATTGAGTTTAACACACTTAATGCTAATGAGGAGATGATAAATCATGTAATGATATATGATGTCATCATACTAGAAGCCATCTTTCATGATGTATGAGTTGAATGTAATGAAAATTTATACTAAGCACCGATAGGCTAGCTATGAGCGGTGATGCCTTTTTTGGGAAGGACGAAAGTTCACGTAACTCTCATGAGATGAGACTGTCTGGCTTGCCGGGTATAGATCTCCATACATCTCCTAGTCTGAACCTATATTGCAAATATAGGGATCTGGCGGGGTTAAACTCCCATATACTCTAGCATGTTATTGAGTCACTTTTGCCGGTGATTTCACCTCTTTCAGGTGTGGGGCAGACACTGGATTTAATGATGCTCACATGATCTATGTTGGTTAAAGTTAAAGCTCCCAATGAATGAATGAGGCCAACTTCAAATGAAACATATAAAGAAATGAATGATATCGAAGTTGTTAAGATAGGATAATCAAGAGGTGAGCTAGACTCAGGTAATGACATTAGGTTATTTCTGATCATTGCACAGCACACCCGAGGAGAGTCATAAACTACATCCTAGGTGTAGCTGGTGTTCATACTGGCCTATGAATGAAATGAACTGAAGTCTGTATGATTAACCTATGTAAAGTAAGGATGACGTAAGTAGTCTTGTTTGCGACCTTAGAGAGGTCAACGACGCCGGTCTCATCTACGGTCTAGATTCCAAGTCCTTTAAGGTACCATTCCACATTTTCTTAAGAAGCTTTAAACTTTTTGACCGTTTTCTTTTGAATATTAAACTTTTTTGCTATTCTTTATTATTTATTGATAATGGCCCATGATGTTGGTGTTGCATTTATTTTTAGCAGTTGTTCTTGGATAAAAGCTGAAACTTGGAAAGAGTTGGTTCTGTTCTTGTGGAATCAAACTAAATGGAAGATAAATTAACATGAATATTTGGTAGGAAGATAATTAGTACAAAATAAAAGTCAAGATAGTATAAAGCTGAAACTTTGAAAGAGTTGATTTGGTTCTTGTGGAATCAAACTAAATGAAAAATGAATTAACATGAATATTTGGTAGAAAAATAATTAGTACAAAATAAAAGTTAAGATAGTATCCTGGTAGGTGAAGTTTAGGCAAACCATAAAATGGTGTTTCATATTTTTAACCTTGACATTTTTAACCATTAGTGATGTCATGGATGACATCAATAGGATGAATTCATTCCTATAAATAGGTAGCTCTTAATTCATTTTCAAAACATCCTCTTTCTTGCCTTCTCACTATCTAAGACATTTGTGTTTTCTCTTTTGTAATATTTCACTTGTATTATTTGTAGAGTGAGATAAATATTGGTGAAATTGTTCTTTGGTGGACGTAGGATCATTTTGATTCGAAACATTTTAAATATTGTTGTTCTTCCTTATTTTTTAATTTCACGTTTCTGCTAATAATTGGTATCAGAGCCAATGTTCTGTCTGAGTATGCTCTATGATTGCAGCATGGTCTGAACTTTCACATCAGAATAAAATTACTTTTTTTT